AAAAAACCAAATTTGTCTGTAAGTTTGCGCTATAAAGTCAAACTAACGAGCTAGACAATCGATAAAAAACCTACTAACTATGTCATAAAGAAGCCCAAAGATGCTTATAAAAATATCTCAGCCAATAAATAATAATTCTTTTGCGCAACAACTCCTTTTACGAAAAAACTTGCTTTTAGTTTTAATGCATTTTCCTAAATCTTTTTAATTTAATTTGACATATTAGAAATAATACCAGGAAACATGTTACAAAATTTTTTTTAACAGTGTTGTCAATTCATAACTAGTCATGTTAACGATTTTCTTAACTATGTTTTCGTGGGTTGTTATAAAAATAATTAATTTTGTGAAGCATATATAACAGAAAGCAGATACTTTACAAGTTCACAATAACTTGCAATAACAACATTCTTTCTTTATATTTGTGTGCAAAAATCTCGACCAGTAATGGCCACTAACTATGCATCAGATACAATCTACAGACATTTTCATCGTACAAATAAAATTTTGAATGGATGTAAAGTAATATGCTTAAATGTCTTGTACCCGAAAAAAATAAAAGTAACGAGTTATGCGGTAAAGAAATTACATGTGCCGCAAAAGCTCGCATTAGCAACCTTATTTGACACTTATCTAGAAAACACGCGGAGCTCCTCATAACGTTAGAAAAAGAAAAGTTAGAGAAAATATTAGAAGAAAAGAATAAGAACCAAAAAAATATAGTCATCAAAGGCAGTAGTTCACAGCAATCCATATTAAAGTGTTTTGTACCGCAGCAAATTAACTTGCATATAGCAAAAGATGAATTTTTAGAAGCCTTAAACAAGCTGGTTTTGGTTGAAGGACTTTCATTCAAGGTTCAAATTATTTTTTCTTTAATATTTATTTTTTAATTTCAAAAAAAGTCTTAGCTGCATTACATTTTAAAAAATTATGTTTTTTTTGCGAATTTTTAAAAAACATTTATTATTCTAAAAACAAATTTTATAGGCGTTTGATCAAGAACCTATTCAAAATCTTTGTGGAAAAGTTGCATCTCATTATGGATTTAAAATGAATAGAGATAATATGAGAATTCAAATTAGCGATCTTGTCAAAAAGCATCGCGAACAAATCAAAAATAAAATATCGAAAATGTTAATTTATTTAAAAGTCGATTCTACATCAAGGCATATGCGCCACTACCTTGATATAAATGCGCAATACTCGAACAATGATGAAATTGTTGTGATCAATCTTGGCACCATAGATACGAAGGGAAAACAAATGGCGGAATACACTAAAAAAATTATTGAAAAGTGTTTAGATAAGTTTGGAATCAATAAAACTAATATTTTAGGCCTCAGTGTTTACAACGCAGCAGTAAGTATCATATATTGAAATTCATCTATATTTTTTTTAAATGAAGAAAAAGTGTAAACTCAATAATTAAAATCGATATTTTCAGTGAATAAAATCATTTAAAAAATAAACTGTTTTGATGTTTGTTAAAATGTCAATAAAATCTTTTATATACTGTAACGTATATTCACTAAATTTTAAATTAACTATTGAAATCGTATTTAATATATTTAGGTGAATATAAAGTTGGTGCGCGACTTCAGCATCAGCGTCATTGAGGAAATTGACGTTGACAAAGGTGATTTTTTCATCAGTAGAAACTGATGAGTTTCACAAAAATGGTAATTCTACAGCGGACAATGCAGCAGCAGTCTTGGCAAGTGGAGTTGCCGGTAGCAAGAGTGTTATACATCTTCAAAGATGTGCTGTCCACACTTTACAGTTAGCCGTGAATGATGCATTGAAGAGGCCCACAATAAAAAATCTTATTAGTCATGCGAGAGAAATTGTGAAAACTGCAAGAAATTCTAAGTGGATTGACTTCTTCAGGGACCATGCTACACATCTCGTTCCAATTTTAGATCAGGCTACCCGTTGGTCTAGCCAGTTCAATATGATTGAGAGGCTAATTAATGTAAGTTATAACTTATAACTTACCTTAATTAATTTTTTTAACTTTAATTAAAACTTAAAAAGTTTTGAATAAAGTTTATAAAACTATTTTTATTTTTTTATCAACCGGTATTTTTTCTTTTTTTTTTCCAACCGGTATAATACAAATCCAATTATTTCAATATTAATGACATTTACATTACTTAATAATTTACGTTTACAACATTTACATTACTTAAAAATTTAGGTTTATGTAAATATTTCTTTAATAATCCTCTTCATTTAAGTAGTTAATAACATTGTACATATATTTAATGAATTTTTCTGTTCTTCTAGATTCGACCAGTAATTCAAAATTTGAATATGCAAAAAGAAGCTCCAAAAGAATTTAATGTGCAACCATATCTTTGGGGAATGTGGGAGGAATTGAGAGATATATTGCAAATGGCACGCGATCTTACTATTCGTCTTCAGCGTGAAAGAATCACAGCAGGTGAATTTCTTTTTGATTGGAATTCAATAAAGTGTGAACTAAACGGGAAGGACAGCGACTTAGCCAAAGATTTCCGGAAAGGAATGGATAATAGAGAGAGCGCACTACGCAAAAATTTGTAGTTTCTTGCAGCAGTTTACGTGGATATTAGGCATGGCTGTATGCTGACAGCCACTGAACACAAGGTTGCTTTTTTTAATAAAATTTTATTTATATATATACATTTTATTTATTTAACCTTAAAAAGTATATATTCAAAAAACTATAAATGTTTCTATAGTTAGCTGCAGCTGATGGACTTCGGAAAATTAATTACAAACTGATTCAACTGGCTAATAAAAATAAGAACGATGAACTGAACAAAACCAAAAATACAATAGCGCCCAACTCTTTAACAGTTCATATTGCAGACTCTAGTTCAGAAAATGAGGAAAATGCTTCACCAGTCGCAAAGCGATGACCGAATTTATTTATGCTGTGTGAACAGGAGATTGAAGAGAATTCTTCAGAAGAACAAATGCAGATTCAACTAAATGTAATAGAAACGGAGTTTCGACAAGCTCTAAAAAGGATTCCGGAAATTTGTTCAATGTTTAAAGACAACTCCCCCAACTTAGACGAGTTTTTAAAACTTAACCCATTAAAAGCAATTGAGCGGTTTCCTGAAGTTTTACGGGATGCCTGCCGAGTCGCTTTATCACTACCCATATCCCAAGTCAGTGTTGAGCGACTATTTTCAGTCTTAAAGCACATGACTCCAGACCATCGTAGTCGATTTACATCTGAGTTAATTGACGATATGCTTTTTTTACGAACAAACAAATTTTTTATTTGAATATTTTTGATGTAGATATTGCAATAATGTTTTCTTGTAACTTTATAATTTAGCGTGTAGTTAATGAAAAAATAAGTTTTAATCTTTTTATAATTTTATGATCATATGGTTTAAAATAATCTGAGAAATTGATAAATCTGTGCGCGTGACAATACAAATCAAATAAAAGTTCTCTTTGGAGTTGTATTATTTTCATTAATTTTACTATCCAGTAAATACGGGACAAATTAACTTCTGGGTTTAAGCAACCGTGGCGCAGTGGTAGTGCACTTGCCTAAAAAACAAAGGATCCATGATTCAAACCCTATTTAGGCAAATTTTGTGACATTGGTTAGAAAGGAGGTCTGAATTTCCTGTTAATTCCTTTTCCGCTGGGCTCTGCGATATTAATGGTAGCCTATCAATTTTTTGGCATTTATTTTTTTTCCAGATAAAAAAAATTCCAGATAAAAAAAACCACATTTAATTTAAGAAAAAAATAAAAAATTCCGGAGTCCGGAGTCCATGGAGTCCATGATTTTTGTCATCAGAGTCCAGAGTCCCGGAGTCCCGAAAAATCAATGGAACTTCGCATCCCTGGTTAATTGAAATTCAAAAATTTCTTCAAAAGCAAATATATATATATAAATATATACATAAGTATATATATATATGTATATATATATATATATATGTATATATATATGCATATATATATATACATATATATACTTTTGCATGTCTCTTGCATGGCATCAAAAAAAGTTTCCCATATACTGTAGTTTTAAAGAGCGCGTTAATAAACCAGACCAGAAAAAGTTTTAAAAATTAAATTTTTTTTTTTAATTGATAGACTGCCTGGCCAAACCAAACCTTTAGTCGATATAGCAGCACTCTCTTGCGAGTCAGGCTATTTGTCAGTCGTTGTAGCAGCACTCCCTTGCGAATCAGGCTATTTGTCAGTCGATGTAGCAGCATTCCCTTGCGAGTCAGGCTATTTGTCAGTCAATGTAGCAGCACTCCATTGCAAGTCAGGCTATTTGTCAGTCGATGTAGCAGCACTCCGTTGCGAGTCAGGCTATTTGTCAGTCGATGTAGCAGCACTCCGTTGCGAGTCAGGCTATTTGTCAGTCGATGTAGCAGCATTCCGTTGCGAGTCAGGCTATAAGATAGTCGATATAGCAACATTTACGCATGTTTTAAAAATGTTTTTTATTAAATCAATAACAAAAACACCACTAATTAAAAAAAACTTTCTAGTCGTTATAATTGCGGTTTTTTAAAAATTTTTTAAAAAACAATTAAATTTAATGTACTTCCGCATAAATTAATTGCTTTGACATTTCGATGACAATCAAAAACAGCTTAAGAGATGAGGTAATTAAAATTGTAGTCGTAAGAGACTTTTTTTACATTAAAACGCTCTTTCGACTACACTATATGGGTATATATATATACATATATATATATGTATATATATATATGTATATATGTAAATATATATATATATATATATATATATATATATATATATATATATATATATATATATATATATATATATATATATATATATATATATATATATATACACAAAGAGATAAACTTAAAATCAAGAAATGTAAACTTAATGTAAAATGTAAAAATAAAATTTCTGTCAGATGTTCCTCCTCTTGATATTTTTATTTTGAGAAACTTATGAATTGCTTGTTTAAAGATAAAAGATAAAAAGTTACTCACTGTTACACCATATTTAATTGCTAATCCTTGAAGAGTGTCTGACGATTCAACTTTGTGAACAAACAAATCTGAATTAGTTACAGATAGCATAGCACCTCTAAGAGATGTTGATCCATATCTGCGTTGGGATTGAATAGAATTGCTTAAACTCATAACCAAAACACCATATTTTCCTTCTATATTTATTTTATTCTAGCAGCCAGAAAAGATAAATTATTTATTAAAATATTTTGTTTGCAAGTTAAATTTTATTGGAACAAAATATAAGTTTGAGAATATACAAGTAAAATATAGTAATAACAAATTTATAACATAAAAATTTTGATAACTTTTTCAATATCTATTTTAATTTAACTCCTTTTAATGACCATTTTTATTTATTTTGATTGCCCATGTTTATAAAAATTAAGAAAGCTAGAGTTAAAAAGATTAGAGTTTATGCAAAAGAAAAAATACTGTAAGCTTACTTTTTTTTGTCAAAATACACTATTAATTAATGCTAATGCTAATTACTGTTAAATTTAATTCATGATTTTTTATTAATTAGCAATTATTTATTAACAATTGGTTCAAATTTTTAATGATCAGGGTGGCCAGTCAAAAGCTAATTTAAAATTCCAGGATATTTCCAGGACTTTTCGAGGATAATTTGGGGTTTTTCAAGGATATATTGAGCTTTTCTTGACCAGAAAAAAACAAAATATGTTGTCTTCAAAATATGTTTTATATATAAATATAAATATATTGCAATATAGTCATATATAGTATGGTACAAGTTAAAAAATATTTTATATTGTATATATATATACACTATATATATTGTATATATAGATACACTAGGTTATCAAACACTTCTATTTATTCTCTTTTTTAGATTGTTCAAGTTTTTTTTAGTGAAATATCACTAAAAAAAACTTGAACAATCTAAATAAGATATTTTCTTCTGCTTCATTGCTTAACGTATCTGCATCAGTTTTAAAAGACTTTGTTGCATTTTGCAAAAACTTTTTCTGTTTCTTTTCAATTACAAATTCTTCATCAATCAATTTAAGTGTCTTGCTTACTTTGTCTACCTTTAACAGATTCTTATTTACCTTTAACATTGAATTGTACCTACAGTCGTGTGCAGTAAAATAGTAGTGCGTATTTTATTTTTCTATCAACAAACTTTGAACATCAAAATATATTTTTCTATTGTTTGTTTTTTATCGTTATTGCTCATAAACTAAATATTGTGATTACAATAGCATTAAAAAAAATTAAGAAAGATAATTGCAGCACTGTATGGTTTTAAATTTTAATATTATCGATTGAAGGTCATTCGTATTTTTTTTTTAGACTGTGCAATAAAATAGTAGTGAAATCATTTTTTATGAAAAGGTCAAAAAATAATTAAATTTTATTACAAAAAAAATTTTATTTTGAAGCTCTACATTTGTATTTTGTGGCACGATCTTTATTTGTAGTAACCGCCAAGCATCTTCGTTGCATGGAATTAATAAGATTCTGACATTGTTCTACATATATATTTTGCCATGCTGACTGTACTACGTCCCACAATTGATTACAACCTCTTGGATTATTTTCAGAAACTGCTTGTTTAACATCAATTCAAAAGTTTTCAATCGGATTGAAATTGGGGGATTGTCCTGGCCACTCCATCACATCGACTTTGTTCTCATTAAACCACAATATGGCTAACTTGCTCGTATGTTTGGGATCATTATCCTTCTGGAACAAAAATTTTAACGGCATTTCTTCTTCAGCATAAGGCAGCACGATCTCTTCAAGTATTTTTACATATACAAACCGATCCATGATACCTTCTATGCGATGTATCGACCTAAGACCATAGTAAGAAATACAACCCCATATCATTACTTTTGAACCTCCATGTTTGACGGTCTTTAATGTAAATTGTGGCTTATATGCTGCACCCGTTGGTCTTCTAACATACTGTTTATGAACATAGGAACCAAAAATTTCAATTTTGCTTTTATCAGTCCACAAAACATTTCGCCATTTTTTTTTTAGACCAAGAAGCATGCATACGTGCAAATTTTAAACAATTTTCGATATGTCTTTTACTCAAAAGTGGCACTTTTCTAAGTGTTCTTGCATTTAAATTGGCATGTGTTAATCGTCTTCGAATAGTTGAGGTATTAACATTTAATTCTAGCCTTTCTTTAATTTTTCTAGAAGTAATAAATGACTTCTTTTTCGCTAACGATACAATTTGACGATCTTCTATAGCGGTAGTTGATCTTTTATTCCCATGTTTTTCTGGTTTGGGTATCCATTTTAAAGCATTACAAACCATTGTTGGTAAGCATCCAACCAATTCTTATATTTGTTTGTAGGCTTTACCATGATTTTTACAATTTATAATTAAATTACGAACTTCTTCAGTACAATGCTTAGAGCGCCCCATGTTTCTCTAAATTTTCAAATTTTTAGCAAGTGTATAAATTTATCTAATATCAAAATTAATTAGTTACTTATTGGTTATTATTAAGAACTAATAATAATTAGAATTTAATAAGTACAGCAATTATTACACAAAAATAATTTTTCACTACTATTTTATTGCACAGTCATTCGTATTTTTTTTTAAATAAAAAAAATACGAATGACCTTCAATCGATAATATTAAAAATTTAAAACTATACAGTGCTACAATTATCTTTCTTAAATTTTTTTTACACTATTATAATCACAACATTTAGTTTATGAACAATAACGATAAAAAACGAACAATAGAAAAATATAATTTGATGTTCAAAGTTTGTTGATAGAAAAATAAAATACGCACTACTATTTTACTGCACACGACTGTATTTTATGCTAACCTTCCACAATGCTGAATACTTTGAATTTTAGGCAAAAAGACACCAAGAAATTTATCAACAGAATCAATCCAAGATCAAACACTTCTGTTGCTTCAATGAGTTTGTCTAATAAATTTTGTGAATTAGGGCATCTGAGGAATTTTGAGTCAATATATCTAACTTTAACAACACTAGAACTTAAATTCCAGTATCTAACTGGGAAATTCATTTGTTTATTTTTGAAGATAATACTCATACTCTCATCATATGACAAAACAAAGATTGGTGATGCTCTGACATCAGAAAAAAGCTGGTCACAATAATATGGTGCTGATCCAATATTAATAAGGTAACCACGATTTGTTTTGCTTGATGTAAACTTTGATGCTGTTGTACTGTCAGAGAATATGAACTTGAATATTTCTTTTAAATTTAAGCACGATCTTAAAGACAAATGTGATATTACAACATTTAAGCTCCACAATATTTCTGCCTTAGTAACCAGAGCTGGAGATTATAGATCCTCAATAGTAGACTGTGCTGGTTTATAGATTATGCTTCCTACCAATTGGATGAGAATCGAAGGCAGATACTCCCATGTTAGAAATACTAATATTCATTCTGCACCAACTATAGCTTGTTTTTTTAGAATTTGAAATACAAAATTTTACACAAGAAGAATATTTTTTATAGTATACCGCTTCTGTTTGAAAATAACAGTTCTTTGTCTTAGGCATTATATTAGTTATATATTATATTTTTTAAATAACTACTAGATGTTAATAATACTGACAGTAACAGTTAACAAAAACTTTTTTGCATTTCAGAAAATACATAATTAACAAATTCAGTAGAAATCTACGCAATATTAATAATATTTATGTAAAAGGTAAAAATATGATAACCAAATATTGAACTATTTTAGAAAAAAGTTCCAGAATTCCCAGGATTTATTGTTAAAATGGCTGTTTTTCCAGGACTTTTCTAAGACTTATCAAATTCCAGGACTTATCAAATTCCAGGACATAATAACAATAATAATAATAATAATAATAATAATAATAATAAATACGATGATGGTGATGATGATGATGATAATGATGATGATGATGATGACGAAGATTCTGTTGATGATGCTGCAGATGACTATGATGTTGACAGCAACACACGTAGTAGCGATGTTGAGGCAGAAAAATTGTGAGCACTTATGCTGGAAAGTACTTTTAATAGTGCTTGGATTCCTTGTTAGCAGACACCTGCTTACATATGACAGAATTGTAGGCATCTGTCATTGTCTGGCTAGTTGCATAGATTTTTCTGCCTCATTTCTTATTCTTTTTGTATGCCCAAACCATTCTGCTAAATAAAGTAATCTTCATTATCAAAACTATATTTAAAGAAAAATTTAAACTATTTCTACAAATAAATAATTAAAATATAAATTTTATTTATCTGATCAATGTTATTTGATTGTTTTATTCGCCTTTTTAAACAGTTGGCATTAACAGGGGGCATTAATCCCCTGCTAATTAAAACATTTATTTTAATCAACTAATTAATCTAATTAGTATTCAATAGAACTATATTTCTCTTAGAAAAGCTATAGATTTAAAATCTTAAATAGAAAATTATTATTAAAGAGCTTTTTATAAGCAATCTCTTAGATAACATAAACAATAGTGAAAAACTTAAAAAAAATACTTAATTTATATGTATTTGTATTTGTATGGAAAATATAAAAATTTCATTGTATAAATAATTTTTTAAGTCAAAAAAAACAAGTGCTTGCTTTTATTAAAGTTTTTCATTAAGTTTGAAGGAAACTGGATGGAAAAATCACTCATCAATAAATTCTAATTAAAAATCAATGCCGTTGGTTAGAAACCCCAGAATGGTTATGAAAATTTTCCTAATTGGTTAGATAGTCTCTATCATGTAAAACTTAATGCCCCTCTCTCTAAATACAATAGCACCAGCCATTTCATTATGTGAACAGAAGTTATATATATATATATATATATATATATATATATATATATATATATATATATATATATATATATATATATATATATATATAATCAATAACACAATTTAAATAAATCAAATGAAGCAGGCTATTTCAGTATGACGTCAGATTGCTCACCTTAGTACGCAATACTATTTATATATATATATATATACACTCATATATATATAAATATATATATACACTCATATATATATATATATATATATATATACATATATATACATATATATAAATATATATATATACATATATATATATACATATATATATACACACACATATATATATTCAATATATATATATATATATATATATATATATATATATATATATATATATATAT